CCTTCCCAGGCTATGCTGAGCGGGGAGTTTGGGCCAAGAGATGGACATCCTTGCCTGGAAACACGGGACTCTCCCGGGGTAACCCTTCCAGTGCTAAAGACAGCGATGGCCTTTTTCAAAGAGAAGAGGCTAAGCAGGTGTTTCCTTTCCCCACATAACAAAGGTAATGTTGTCCTCTTTCGTTTTCCAATTTCAGTTTCATTAGGGCCGCATGCTTGCTGGACACTCTGGAGGCTCTGGTCTGTCTGCCACCCTTGCCACTGTCAGGTCAGCAAGAAGAGAGCCTTCTTCAGCAGTAAGTGACTTCCGGTCACTCGCCCATCATGTGCCTGGCGAGCAGGCTGCGTGGGACTGAGGAGGACACCCTGGGTCTTGGGGATAAAGACTTCAGATTTGCCATCTGCTCTGCTCCCCCAGCCACTGCCCTGGATGGGCCATTTTGCCTCTCTTAGGAAATGAATGGGATCTGAAGGCTCCCTTCTGGCATGTAGGGTCTCTCAAGTGTTTAGTGCCTTAGCACAGGGACTAGTCAGTTAAAAAATTTGAAACACACTCAGCTAAGTACAAATACAGTCATTTGATTATATATCTTCCAGTAATGTCTGTTAATAATTAAAAAAAAAAAAAAAACTTGGGGTCGGTGCAGTGGCGTAGCAAGTAAAACCACTGCCTGCAGTGCCGGCATCCCATATGAGCCCTGGTTCGAGTTCTGGCTGCTTCCACTTCCGATCCAGCTCTCTGCTCTGGCCTGGGAAAGCAACAGAAGATGGCCCAAGTCCTTAGGTCTCTGCACCTGCGTGGGCAGACCCAGAGAAAAATCCTGGCTCCTGGCTTCAGATCAGCATAGCTACAGTCATTGTGGCCATCTGGGGAGTGAACCAGTGGATGGAAGATTTCTCTCTCTGCCTCTGCCTTTCAAATAAAATAAATAAATCTTTAAAAAAACCTTGATAAATCCATCAATGAAGATGCTTAAGCTGCCTTCTAATGCAGAGGATTTTTTAATCAAAATTGTTTATAGACTTCTGCTACTCCAAAGTGGCTTCAGGAGTTTAAAAATGAGAACCAGCATTGCAGTGCAGTGGGATAAGCTGCTGCCTGTGGCTCCAGCATCCCATATCAGAGCACCAGTTTGAGTCCCGGCTACTCTGCTGCTGGTCGAGTTCCCTGCTAATGTTGCTGGGAAAGCAGCAGATGATGGCCCAAGCATTGGGCGATTGCCACCCTTGTGGGAGACCCGGATGGAGTTCCTGACTCCTGGCTTTGGCCTAGTCCAGTCCTGGCCATTACAGCCATTTGGGAAGTGAACTATTAGATGGAAGATCTCTCTGTTTCACTCTGCTTTTTAAATAAATAAAATACGTTTTTTTAAAAAAGAGTTTTAAACCAGAAACATCTGTATAACTTAGGGAAAATACAAGGATGCTTCAAAAAGTTCACAGGAAATGAGATTAAAAGTTTATTTGGGTGCAAAAAAATTTGAAATTCACACTTGATTTTTCATAATATGCCTTTTCCATGGACTTGACAAAGGCCTCTTGTATTATAGCTTTTTTTCCCTTGCCAACAGCAAGAGATACCTGGAATGTAGAATGTCCTTTTATAGTTGCATCAATCATGGAAAGAAAGCAAACAGGAATCTGGAAAAGAAAAAAAAAGTGCCCAATTTGTCAATTCCCATGACACGTCTTCCTACAGTAAGGCATGACATTACTCTTCTTGTGGTTTGGCTGCTCGCTGCACGGCTCTGATGCCACAGAGAAAGGGAGAAGATGCTTCTCAGACGTTGTAAAGGACACGTGCCAAGCACGTGGAAGGTAAATCCCCTAATTCAGTCCGTTCTTCCAGCATTCTCTGGCAGACAGCCAAGCTAAATATTTCTGCTGGATAAAAAATGCACTCTCATGTGCTTCCCTCTTTTCTGGTTGCCTGGCTTCAGCTGGAGGGGTTGCCTCAGTGAGCAGAATCGGAAATAAGTTGGCTTCCTACACCTATTTGTGCTTTTCCACCTCAATTTCCCTAAGCTATTGATTACTTTATGCTGGAACAACATTGGGAAAGAGATTTCATGTAATTCTCCCCACTCCTCTCCCGCCATCTCTCAATTTGTTTCGAATGATGATCTCTCAGATTTCCTAAGTGGCCATCTTTTTGCCCGCTGCATGTTTTTTTTGGCAAAACCAGTTTTCAAAGGCAGTTACATTTGGTCTACTGAGATCCAACATATGGGCCAGTGGGCTTGTGTCAGATGGGGATTATAGCTAATTGAAATTTATGACACAACTGCTGACTTCATTAGGACTAATTAGAAGAATTGAATTGGGAATTAACATTCAGATACCCCCTTCTAATTGCTTTAGATGTTTTTCTACTACATAAAAGATAGGGCATTTTTGGTAGTTGTAGGAAGCATACAAATGGAATTACAGTGCAGATTTGCATCTGCTGTTTTTATCCAGTGGTTTATCATGAGCCTTCTCTCATATTACATTTATTTTAAAACTTTTAAATGGTTGAATAGTACTCATGTCATGTAGCCATCTCATCTTCTATTTAGCAATTTCTATAAATTTGAATATTCAGGCTGTTTCCAGTTTGTCGTAATTACACATAATATTGTAATTAATATGCTCATATCACTGACTGCTCAAGTTATTTCCCTGTGGATGTATTCCCATTAGTATATTCATTTGTTCAAGGTTATGAATCTTCAAGACTCTCAGTAGCTAAATTTCTTTCCAGAAGTTATACCAGCAAAGTATAGATTGTAAATATCTAGAAATTAGATTTAACCTAAAATTTCCATCTTATATTTTTCTTTCTGTAAAATGTTGGTGGCATTATCAATATTTGAATAATTACCCAGTGGCTTAATCTTTTGTTTATTTGACAAACATGTTGGGTTCCAATAGGGTGCCAGGCATATGCCATCACCCCAAAGAGTAGCTTTTGTCACCTTTAAATATTTACTTTTAAGACAATCTTGCAGACTGTTTCTTTGAATATTTATGATTTATAATGATGTGTTCTAACAATCCACATTAAGAATGCATCTTGTCATGCCATCCACCCAGAGAATAAGAATCCAGTTTGATAAGAATGGTATACGTATCCCATAAAAAATTAATTCATGAAGCTGACAACACCTGTTTCCGGTAGAATGCAGGATTTTGAACTGATTTTCTGGTACTGGGTACCGCATTGGTGTTCCTCATCCACACTCATGCTGGGAGCTTCCTTCCCAAACCACAACCTTCACCCATCGTTGGAGCTAGGGATGCAACCTGTGGCCCTGGACCCAAAGCCAGCCTAAGTGACCCCTCTCAGGTCAGACCTGTGTGTGTGGCTGCATTGCCTCAGTTCTTTGTTAATCTCAGGGACAGATTCCAGATGGAAAACTGAGTGGCCCTGGGAACTGTGACCTTGTCCTCTATACTAACCAGGTGTGCCTCGCCTGAGACTTAGGTAGCTCATAGGCCCCAAGCACAACTCCCCTGGAAGAGAAAGGCAGAGCAGAGAGAAGGAGAGCGAGAACAATCCCCTCTTCCTGTGTCTGGATCCTGCAAACCGGCTGAGGGGATTTCTGCCCTGCCTGGGGAGGCTCTGGCAGATGCATCTGTGTGGCTTCTGCTGCCGTCCGTGGCGCTGCGTGCGTAGGGGAGCTTCCGGACAACCCTCTACCCATTTCCGTCTCAGCCGCGCTGGGAGAAGAGAACAGAAACGTGGTGGGCTGGACTGAGTTCTTCTCTGGAAAGGGGATGGTTTCAATACTGCGCAGCCCACAGAAAGCTTCCAGGGGTGCTTTAAAGGGAACCTTATGGCAACAGGCCTTTGAGCTTTCCCGGAAGACGTGGTCTGTGTTGTACACACAGATCTAGCTGGGGCGGAAGAGGAAGTACTGAGGTTACCAAGGAGTGGGAGAAGGGGTGAGAGCTGGCTGCCGGCCTTTCCCTTCATCTGGAGCCAACCGCCAGGTGATAGACATCCAACTCCCAGCGATCAATGAATGCGTGTCCCTGTGCGCATGCGCATCATTCTCGGCTCGGTGATTGTTTTGAGAGGAAGAAGAGAGAGAGAGACCGAAAGAGAGACATATAGAAGAATATCCCATCTGCTGGCTCACTGCCCAAATGCCTGCACTCCCCAAATTCCAAGGGAGGACCAAGCCAAAGCCAGGAGCTGGGACTCAGTCCACATGGCCCACATGGGTGGCGGGACCCAACTCTCTGGGAGGTGAGCCATCCTGCCACCGCCCAGGATGCAGACTGGCAGGAATCCGGAATTGGGAGCTCCAGCTGGGCCTTGAACTCAGGCACTGTGATATAGCATGCAGGCATCCCAAATGTTCTCTTAGCCACTGAGCCAAATACCCCTTGCTTTATCTGTCATCCTAAACCAAAGTATGTCTCCAGTTTCCTTTAGATTATAGAGTTTTAAAAATTTTAAAAAGGTTTTATTTATGTATTTATTTGAGAGGTAGAGTTATAGACAGTAAGAGGGAGAGAAAGAGAGGCCTTCCATCCACTGATTCACTCCCTAAATGGCCACAACAGCCAGAGATGAGCTGATCTGAAGCCAGGAGCCAGGAGCTTCCTCCAGGTCCCCCATGCAGGTGCAGGGATCCAAGGACTTGGGCCATCCTCTACCACCTTCCCAGGCCATAGCAGAGAGCTGGATCAGAATTGGAGCAGCCGGGGCTAGAACTGGCGCCCACATGGGATTTGGGCACTGCATAAGGAAGATTAACCTACTGCACCACAACTCCGGCCCCTGGATTATAGATGTTAAAGGTGTTGTTTTATCATAGTATATCCTGTTGTTTCTTCAATTTTAAAATTGTTCTGAAAATAATTAAGTGATTTGATTGTGCGTGTCCTCTGATCAGCTGAATGGTATTTTAATTTTTTAATTTATTGCTTTGTCTAGATGGTATGTAGCTACTTAATGCTAAGTTATTTGTGATGTTTTTATAAAAATAGAAATGATTACAACCTTGTAAGTGGTTTCAACAAGTTTATTTGTTGGGAACATGATCAGTTGTGGAATTGGGAACCCAGTGACCAAATGAGGAAGGAGGCCTGGCTCTGGGATTGACCCTGCTGCAGGCCCACACCCTTGTCTGCATCCCTCAGAGACCAGATGTGACTTTGAACTTGGAGTCTTTCAGAATTTATGGAGGTCGTATTGATGCATATGGCTTCTGTGAGGTGTGCTTCTTCAATCATCAGCATTTCAGCACCAGGAGAGAGCAGAAAGCTTGCCCTGCAGAGTTGAGACTGTTAAGCAGCTATGTGGTATGCCAGCATCCCATATGAGCACTGGTCCATGTCCTGGCTGCTTCACTTTGAATTCAGCCCTTCCCCCACCCCGCCCTGCCCCACCACATCAACAGTGGTGGGAGCCATGTGAGGTTTCAGGGCAGGGAAGGACCACGGGAAGGAAGGCTGTCATTCAGAGTGACAATTCCAGAGACAGTGGACATGTGGAAAATTGCAAAGGAAGGGAAGAGAATATGGAGAAACTTATTATGAGGCCGTGGTAGTATGTTAATATGTTAATGGAAGAGGTAAACTATGGCAGTTCATGTTCCTATACTAACATAGATTTCCAGGATCTGATTCTTCACCAGTTCTATATATTTTGAGACTGTTGAATTTTTATTTTCCATCATCTGTGGCCTTCAGAATAAGGACATAGTGCTTGGCCACAATGGCTTCTTGGGAAATTGAAGAGATAAAATAAGCTTTGCATAGCCTTATATTAACCATAAAATGCCCCTGGTCTGGTAAAGCTCTACCTTGGCCCTCAGAGGCTGTTGTGTTTATTTTCCTGTAGGGTTACCCCAGTTTTACCACACTGAGAATTTTCCGACTATCAAATGCTCATCAGAACTTCTAATAGAAAGGAGTCCAGCCGTTAAAAAAAAAAAAAGATTTTATTTATTTGAAAGACAGTTACAGAAAGTGGGGAGGGGGGTCGGGGAGAGATATCTTCCACCTGCTGGTTCACTCCCTAGATGGCCACAATGACCAGGGCTGGTCCAGGCACTCCCTACATGGCCACAACGACCCGTATTGGACCAGGCCCAATCCAGGAGCCTGGAATTCCATCTGGGTCCCCAATGTGAGTACAGTGGCCCAAGCACTGGGCCATTTTTCACTGCCTTCCCAGGCCATTAGCAGGGAGCTGGATCCGAAGTGGAGCAGCTGGGACTTGTACCAGTGCCTGTATGGGGAAGGCAGCACCACAGGCTGTGGCTTAACCTGCTATGCCGTGGTGCCAGCCCTGAGACGGAAGTAGACTTTCCCTTTCCAGGGAGAGTGGCAGAAAGCTTCCTTTTCTTCTATTACTGTACTCTTAAAAAAGCTTTGTTTACTTACTTGAGGGGACAGTGTTGTGGTTCTGTGGCTTAAGCCACCTGCCTCCTGCCGTGCCGGCATCCTATAAGATCTGCTGCTCTACTTCTGTTATTTCTGACTTCCTATCTAATACTTCCAATCCAGCCTTCTGCTAACGTGCACTTTGGAAGGCAACGGATGCTGGCTCAAATGCTTGGGCCCCTGCCACCCACATGGGAGACTGGGATGGAGCTCCTGGCTTTGGCTTGGACAAGCCCTGGCTGTTGCAGCCATTTTGGGGGGGGGGGTGAACCAGAAGATGGAAGATCTCTCTCTCTCTCTCTCTCTCTCTGACTCATCCCCCCCCCCCCAACTCCCCGGCACTCTGCCTTTCATCAGCTGCTTCCCTACGGAATCAGAAGCACAGAGTAACTGAGACCAGAACTAGGTTCTCCAAAGGTAGCATCCTTAGTGGAGACTTAATGCTCATCCCCAGCACTGTAGTCTTATTCCAGAAGTCAGGGGAGAAGCTCCGAATCCATCATAAAAATCAATACAGGTAAAATCAAAATATATAAAACTCCCAAGACATAGCTGAAATGGTATGACTCACTACTATTGAATAATAAGCAAACATTGGAATTGTCCTACTTGTTTATATTTAGAAGAATTTACAGTGAGAGTGGCTGTGAAAAAAAGTTAAACTTGAAATTATAGTATTTTGTGTAGAAAGCATTCAGGAAATGGGATGAGGTTGACTATGTTTACGTCAGTCTTCCACTTGAAAAACACAGAAAGGCTGTTTACGTGTTGACAACACAACCCACTTGAGTCATTTAAAACTGTAGCACTAGACAAAGTCTGTCACACAGGAATCCTTAGTTCTGAATTAACATCATAAGAGAAGGCATAATGCTTAGGACAATCCAATGCCATTTCAGACTACATTGTTTAAGGTGTTCAAGTCTGCCTCCTACACACAAACAAATGGATTATATGCAAATAGTTGCATAACTTATTTATCTTTGTTTGAAACTGCTGTGCACATCCTAAAACAATTTTGCAATCAGAATTATCAGCCCACTAAGCACCAAGGAGTTTGTTTTGTTAATTGCTGTAGTTAAACCTAATTACTGTGGGGTGGAGTGACCTGAAGAGGAGGGAGGCCCTGAGGACTGGCAGAAGGAAATTTTGGGAAGAAGGGCCTGTGTCCGGCTGTGCACATGGGTGAGAGTGGGCAGAAGCCAGTCCCGCCAGAACTGTGTCCTTCGCTTTGGGGAAGTTGACTGCATCTGTGTTTGGCGGGGGACCCTATTCTCAAGCACTGTTGTCAGTGGTAGGTTCTTCCCTCCTCCCACCCCCCATAAACCTGCACATTTTTATGTCTGTGGCTCCTCCCCTCGACTATTCTGTTAAAGTCCAAGAACAAGGCTTGAGCGACAGTATACTTTCTCTAGAAAAGGACAGCGTGTCTCAGAACCCACTGCAGCCAGGACCTCAGAACCACGTGGAGCCCATTCGTGCAGTATACCCTCAACAGTGGTGCAGGCACAGTGCTAAGTGCTAGGTTCCAACGAGGCCCACGATTACTCATAGTGCAGTAAGCAGAAGAGCACAGGAAAGATCCTTGTGCGGGAGGAGGGGCGCGTGGCGAGAGCATGAACACAAAATGGTCCACGTGAGGAAATGGGGCGCGACACCCCCTGTTCCCTGGGGGCACAGTGTTGGACTGGAAGCCAGGCCCGGCGCTGTCACCATAGCCAGCAAGTCCAGAGCAGCACGAAAGGCCAGTGCTGCCAGTCGGCTGCTGGGTTGCATCTTTGCCTGCTGGGTCTTCCGAAACTAAAAGTGTTTCCAAGAATGCCCCAAATCCCACGCACGACTGTGTAAGTAGGCTGCACATAACCACCTGAGGACTCGTTGCGCGTGGTGGTGTTTTTTCAGCCACAATGGCATTTTGGAAAACTTTCTCTCTCTCTTCTACAGGATGGAGGAAGCCTGTCACGGGGCAAAGCCTTTCCTTCAAGGCTGGCAGAAGCTTTTTAGATGAATGTAAACTAGCTGTGGATGAAGTAGAGGTCACCAAGGAAATAAACCTTTGATTTGTTTAAACATATTCCAAGTAGAACATCAAGACGAATTGGGGTCGCTCGTCTGATGAGGTGAAAGCTTTGGGAGAATGCCAAGTTAAGTAGCAGGGTCCCTGTGATTAGTTCTTGGTTGCTGGGTAAATGTGTTTACTTTCCTCCGCTGGTATTTATACTAGTTAATGTGTTGCTCCAGATAAATCGACTTCCTGAGCCCATCTTTCAGCTTGTTCTCCTCTCTTCCGAGCTGACAAATGGTTTGAGTTTGACACAGTTTATCAGTTGATCCCCTGCTGGGTGCTGCCAGCCGCCAGCTCAGACTACCGCCTCGGAGAAAAAGTGAATTGTCTCAGATGTTTTCATCCCAGTCTTGGGTCCAGAGACACGATGTGTCGCTCAGGGACAGATTCTGATGGCGGTGAGAAAATTTTGCCTTCCGAAGCACAAACATCTCCAGCCCAAAATGGGTTCCTGATCATGTCCTGGTAGGGCCACTGTAAAATGGCATCAAATGCAACATGATTCTCCTTTTTATCAGAAAAAATTAAACCTGTCTGGTGATTGTTGTCATACCTGGCCGGCAAGCACCAACACAATGTGTCCCCTAAAATGACCACAGCCCCAGCGAGGGCTCCTTTGGCTGGGGGCGCGACAGCGGGCAGGTACCTTTCTTGTTGTGTCAATGCTTCTGGTCATGGGAACGTGGGGATGGAGGGCCTCTAGGGAGTCGGTTGGCGTCTCTGGAATTTACAGTTTGGTTTCTCAAGTGTTTCATCCTAACACCTTTTTAAAGAAAGTGCTAAACTGAATTCTATGTTCCACTTATTAAAAACACTTATTACACACTTCAACAATTATCAACTCAGGATCTGGGTTATTGGATCTTTACCTCAACCTCACTGCTGATGATTTTGAAACAAATGCCAAGAAAGTGTATGATTTCTTTCCTTTTAAAAAATTTTATTTATTTTCATTTTATTTGAAAGGCAGAGGGTGGGGATCCTCCATCTACTGGCTCACTCCCCAAATGCTTGTAAGAGCTAGACAGAAGTCAGAAACCAGGAACTCCGTCTGGGTCTCCCATGTGGGTGGCAGGGACCCAAGCACTTGAGCAGCGTCTGCTGCCTCCCACACCGCTCACCAGCGGGAAGCTGGATTGGGAGCAGAGTATCAGGGACTTAAACCTAAGCACCGCAGTGTGGGATGCGGTGTCCCAAGCAGCAGCTTAACCCACTGTGCCACACACCCACTCCTACCATTTTATCTGTGACTATCTCAGTATGTACATCTGAAATACAAAGATTTCACTTAAATATGAGGGTACTTCAAAAAGTGTGTAGAAAAGTGGAATTATTTACTTTTTGTTTGCAAACCATTTTGAGATCCATCAGATTTTTTTCTGTAACATGAACTTCCCATGAACTGTTTGAAGACCCTTCATCGTACCCATGGATTTCCAAAGTTTTTGCACCTTATCTTTCCATTCCATTTTCCATGAACTTTTGGAAGTGCCATCGGGCAACAAAACAACACATAATTCTTGATTATGGGAACTCTGGCTAATTCCAAAGCTGTGTTTCTTGAAGGACCGATTATTATAGCTAGGCTACTGGCTAAGGGAAAGTTGAAAGGGCTGGCTCCATCAAAAAATGCACCCCAGGGTATGGCAAATATATTTTTGACTCCTTTCATGGATTTTGGAGGGAGATTCTAGAAGGAGAGCATGTACACACACACACACACACACACACACACACACACACACCCCACTAGCATTTACAGCTCTGTTCTTTCCATGGAATTAGATCCTGTGGGATGCTGGGTGAGAACGAACACTTGACTTTGCCTGCTGGTGGCAGTGGCAGGGGCGCAGTACTACCCGGAGAAGCACGGAGTGTGCCTTCCACACACTTCGGCGCACACAGCCTTGGCAGCAAGCAGGGATCTAGCAGTTGGATGGTCCATGTGCCCCGCGCCACTTGTTGAGTGACGTGCCTGTGAGCTTGATTAGCTGTTACAGATTAGAGAGCTGGCTGAGGCCCTGAGTTATTGATTTGGATGCAGCCTTCTGTTCCACACCACCACGTCCACCCCCTCACCCCCCCCCCCGCCCCCTTCTTTCTGTCCACAAGCTCTGAGGAAGAGGCGAGAAGTGGAAGAGGAAGGGGGGGGGTCCAGATGGAAGAAAAGAGTGTTGAAAAGATCCTGTAGGAAGTAGGTCAGGTACTTTGGAGATTAGAGTAGTTTGCTTCATCCCTGAATGCGGGAGCCAGAGACAAGTAGCATACAATTAGGAGGAATTAGAACAGCAACAAGTAGCTTGGATTTATCAGCTTTAATTGTCTATTGTCAGGACGGAGCTCTCCTGAGGATCACGGGTGCCTGGGCTACATCCTAATACTTTTAATGGACCTCCATTGTGGGATTATCTCTCCCAAAGATGGGGAGGCTGCCTGAAAACACTGAGCTGCTACTTTCTCTGGGATGCATCCCATTCTAGGAAAATGCAGGGCACCCAGCGATCCCCAGAGGCGCACCTGAAGGGGCCAGATGCCTATTGAACATTGACAGTCATCCTGCTGCCAGCCTGTGCTTTGAGGAACAATGGGGGGAGATGGAGACCAGATAAGAGAGGGCTGATGGCTTCAGAATCCCCACACTATCTTCCTGTTAAAAGGTTTCCTGGCTTTATTCTTAGTCAACAATAGAGAGTTTTTCAAAAGATAAGGTGTCTATTAAGTGAGTGTGTTGTTGTAATACCTTTGCCTTCTCTTTAGCTTCATCACCTTTCAACTCCTAGGGTGGAGAAGGTAGCCTTTAAGGGACCAGTTTTGTATTTAAAAGGTTCCACAATAGGGGCTTGCACTGTGGCTCCTCTGGTCCCCCGGCTGGCTGCTCCACTTCCGCTTCCCATCCTGCTCTCTGCTATGGCCTGGAGCAGGTAATCAAACTGCACCTGAGCAGCCAGCACAGCACTGTCAGCTGAGAATGCAGAGAGCTGAGCTGGGGTTTGGATCCTGCCTGTGTCTGCGAGCTGCCATTTCCCAGGTCCACCGTTGTACCCGAGATTCAGTCGCCGAAAGGAAGCCCTGGGAGAGATGGGTTTTCTGCTTCCTGAGCCCCGGCCCTCTCGTCTCCGGTTTCCTTAGCAGGAAAATGAGGTGTTGGACCACATCCGTGGCCTGCAGCTCGGGCTGGAGACTGAGTCCGTTTTGGAGCAGACTGGGCATGGGGGGGTGGGGTGGGGGGGAATTGCAAATGATTTCATGAAAGCCTTTATCATTCTGTCTCCTCTCCCCTCCTAACCCACCCTGGCAGCCACTAAAAGTCAAGTCTCCAGCCTTGAGTCTTTCCTTAGGTAGGATGAGAAGAAAGAGCCCCCTTTTTAATAAAAAAATTCATCCTTCCTTCATCCATTGGTTACTCGTAGGTGGGTTTGGGGAGGCTGAGGCCTGCACCTGTCCACTGGGCCCCCCACGGCTTCAAACCCGTGGTCCCTCTTTAATCTTAATCTATAAAATGCTCTTATCCACACCTGCCTTCTTGTTTGTGCCTTGGACTCCTCCCCTCTCCCAGAGCGGTCTCTCTTCCCACAGGAGGGTGAGAGAAGCAAACAGGAGCCCTATGTCTTCCTCTCGCTTTGCTGGGAAGCTACTCTTTCTCGTCCCCAAATGAAGAGACAGCTGAGAGGAAAATGAGTGACAGCAGGAACCTTGAGCCTGTTGTCCTTGACCACTCCCTCTTTTAAAAGATTCATTTATGGGGTGGCATTGTGGCGAAGCGGATATAGCCCGCCGTCTGCGATGCTGGCATCCCATGTGAGTGCCGGGTTCAAGTCCCAGCTACTCCACTTCAATCTGGCTTCCTGCTAATGGCCTCGGAAAGCAGTGGAAGATGGCGCAAGTGCTTGGCCCCTGCATCCAATAGGGAGACCCGGAGGAGGCCCCTGCACCCAATAGGGAGACCCGGAGGAGGCTCTTGGCTCTTGGCTTCAGCCTAGCCCAGCCCTGGCTATTGCAGCCCTCTAAGGAGTGAACCACAGGATGGAAGATCTCTCCCTCTCTCTCTCTACTGTCTCTCTTGCTCTCTTCGTAACTCTGACTTTCAAATTGATTAATTTATTTATATATTTGGAAAGGCAGAGTTACACAGAGAAAAATCTTCTGTCCTGTAGTTCATTCCCCAAATGGGCACAAGTGCTGGGAGTGGCCAGGCTAAACACAGGAGCCTGGAACTCCATCCAGGTCTCTCACATGGGTGCAGGGGCCCAAGCACTTGGGCCGTCTTCTGATGCCCTCCCAGGTGCGTTAGCAGAGAGGTGGATCAAAGCTGGAGCAGCCGGCGCTCGTAGGGGATGCCGGCATCACAGGTGACCCCTTGGTCTCTTCTAACAGTTCCTGTTTGGCCTGCTGGGCTCAGACATGGCCTCTGGTCACATGTTCTTTCCCACTGTCTGTTCAGGAATTAAAGTCCTTCTCCTATCAGAAGATTCATCATAGTAAAAACATAATTAGGAAGAAGAACAAATATTGGAAACTCACCTCCATTCCCCCCCCCAATCATATGGAAATGATTATTATTGCTGTTACATATTAAGTTGGTGGGTCTCCAGCTACATGAATCATTTAAAGATACACACATGATAAGGACACAGCAGAGGTGGGGTGAAAAATATAATGACAGGGATTCACTAAATACAGAGACCTCAGACCTGGTATGGGTTTTAAAACATCCTCCGGACAGCACTTATCCCATCTCCATTCCTAGGGAGGGAAGGAACCGTATTTTGATTCTTCCACTGGCTTAATTTTTGTTTCCTTTATGGAGGAAGTCAAAGCAGTGACCTCATTTCAAAACATCCAAGGACAGGCCCCAAAGATCACCACTCCAAAGCTTAGGCGCTGGATATGTTTGTGCAGAGTTTTGGGGAGGGGAGCTGCGTCATCAGGAGGAAGCTTGTGCTATTTTTAAATTGACTGAGCACATCATTGAAATAGATCATGCCCATAACATACCAGTGACACACAAGCTGCATTGTTACATAGCATGTGTCACACATACATTCTCTCTCACTCATACACACACACACACACACAGTTACTCTTCTGGTCCGGCTTTTCAAAAGGAAGGCAGCCAGAAAGCCAAGCCCAGAGGTTTGAGCTGAAAAGGCTGCTGGAGTTTTGAAAACCAAGTGCCCCCTCTGGTTCTCAGCCTGGCTTTGAGACATGTGGGAGGGCTTCAAAGCTCAAATGCCCCTCTGCTAGGCTCAGGCCTACAGTTGGTCCCCAAATGTTTACCAGCAGGAAGATGCCTAACTTACAGGAAGTGGGAAATGGGCGTGGGGGGTGAGGGTGGGTGGGTGGGGAGTGGGGAGAAGAGGGTGGGGGGTGTTCTCTTGATGTGGTTAGCCTGTCATTGACCTTGTTTGGGTATAGCAGGAGTTGAATTAGAAAATGAAAACATGTTTCATCTTGAGCACATTTCATCCCACTTTTTTACTTTCCTTAGGGAAAAAAAAAAGTTCTTCCCCCAAGTGGAGTCAGGTCTCCAGATCGGATACCCCTTTCCTTGGGCCCACCCCCCGCCTCATACAGGCATCTGGTCACCTACCTTGCGATGGGAAACCCACCCTGAGGCCTGGGAGCCCGAAGGACCGACCCGGTAGCTAACGCTGAACTCGCATGCGGTCGTTGGGCTGCTTGGAGGAGAGGAGGATTTCTGAGAACAGAGCTGTTGGGTCATTGGTGAGTTGCTGCTAGGGCGAGCATGCTCCCTGAGACACTCTGCCTGAGAAATGCTGATTAATAAAAGGCACTGAGGTTTCTTCACGGCACACTAACCGGCAGGGAAAGAAGAGAGTGACTAAGTTCACACCAAGTGATTACTTAGAAACAAACATTTTGAGACTTCAGATTCCACACAGTGGCAGCCTTAAAGACCTCTCTGCACAACTGCACCAGTGCCATTGTCTCCCAGCTCTGGTCAGCGCCCTGCATGGGTCCCCCTGGAACCTTCTAGAAGGGCTGAGTGGAGGCCGGAGGATCAGGCCCTTTTCTTTCCCCCTTAACAGTTCGGTGCTTGGCCGTAAATACCTCAGTAGGACAGGGTGAGCATTGCTTTCCTGTTGTGAAGCTGCTTCCTCTCCTTTATCCCTTCTTTCTTTTTGTGTCTTTCATCTTGAATTAGATTATTGTCTATTCCTGACCGCTATCATCATGGTCAAAACTGGGCTGGGGGTGTTATTTGTTCTTTCCTTTCCCTCTCACTTCTAGACAAGAAGTCAACATTGGAAGGGCTTTACATCCTAACACTCTGTGTCTCAACGCGTACTTTCCTTCCAGTTCCACCCGTGGCCGTGTGCAGCTCAGCTGGAGCACCTGGAACTAATTTTAGGGTTGCCTGGCTAAGCCCCAAACTGGTATTTGATGTTCGCGTCTTCTCTCGGCTCAAGCCCATTTCACCACCTCTGAAGGTGAGTGCAGGCTGAAATTAATTAACAGTGAGTTGATTCACTGGCATCTCCCAGGCAGTAAAGCAACTATTTGGCCAAAAATAGCCCTCTTCCCACCTCAAATATCAGACTTTCTGCCTGAGCCCTGCCTTCAACATGGCTGACTCACCCACACTTGCACGGTCTATGTGGCTTAAGAACACGGTTTGATCCTAAAAGGGAAGTGAAATACTCTTTAACATCTGCAAGGGAGACTGTTTGAACAGCAGGCCAGCCTTCCGTATGACTGCATTGTTTTTCTGTCCATTGTGGCGCTGACTCAGCATCAGTTAATAAACCCTCTCGAGAAGGCTGGATTTCTCTTGTTTAATTATCATCTTGGAGCTTTCTGAGAACCCTGGGGAATCGTTCATTCAGTTTTATACCCCTGGCACATCCGCCCTCGAGGTCCTGGTTCCTCTTGGTGCTAGCGTCCCCTCTGGCAGAACGTGCAATAACAGGTGGACCTGCAGCAAGTGGCGAGTGTGTGCTGCTTATGTCCCCTAGTGGGAATGTGACTGTTGTGTGCTACAGAGAGGCTGCAAGGACTTAAGACACAGACACCATTTTCTGGCAAATAATCTTTTACTTCCCACTCTTCCCCCCTCTCCCCTACACCCCCCCCCAAAAAAAAGTCTAGAAATTTTCCTGAAGGAGAGAAAATAGATTTTTAAGGCAAACATTTTTATGGTTGAGTTGGACTTCTGTTTTGCTTTGTTTCATTTCTTCCTATAAACAAATAATCAAATGTCCACTTCATTGTATGAGTAAGTTAGTATCATCAGGTTGGGACTGGGTGTGTGTCTGTGGGTGTGTGTGTGTGTGGGGGGGTGTATGCACATGTGTATTTGAAATGCTAGCAAAGACAGCGAAGTCTAAGGTTGAAAGAGAGATGATTGAAAAAAGCAGATACAACTACGTATAGTGAGGCAAGCAGGAAAAGTGGAAGGCTCGTGTTTCAGTGATCTAAGTAATAATTGTACGGGGTGCTTGCTATAAATGGTCTCTTTGCATCATTGTTTCTCTGAACTAGAAGATTCCTTGCTGAAGGCACAAGAGCATTGAAGGAAGTAGAGCATCTGGTTTGTTTTGTAATGAGAAGCAGGAATGCAAGGTCCACGCTCTTAATAATAAACAAACAGGACATTGTATGGCATCATCACAGGATGTCCTTCCTTCAACAGAGGGACTGGCTGAGGCTGGAGGAAAAGGCGGCCAGGGCTCCGAGCGAGCCCACTAATTACTGCCTCGGATGGCTTTCCCCTCGCGGTGTCCAGTTCAGTATCCCCCAAGACTCCCCCGTCCCTTTTACTCACCCTGACCCACTGCTCGGAAGTCAGCCTGTGGGTCCCAGGAGCAGAGGGAAAATGGGGGTGGGGGTGGGGGGTGAGATTCATCTGTAGGATCGTAACTTTTCCCCATGTCCCTGTTTACTGTACTGATTGAAAGAGGAAAGTTGGTTGTGCCAGAGGTGGATGTATTGAGTTAACAGGAGAGAGATGGCCTCCGAGAAGTTTGGGGGGTTGGGGCCCCATTCGCGGGCGCAGACAGTGTCAGTCGCCTTTTGCAAGTGCGTTATGCGCGCCGTCTGCGGACTGCGGGCTCGGGCTGAGCCACACGCTGGCCAGGTACTTTTGAGGTTTCCTTCGCTCTGGGAGCACACACACACACACACACACACACACCCTTTATCGTCCCTCCCCTCTCCCCCCAGGAAGGAGGGCGCTCTGCAATCTTTAGAATACAATACGGCCCAAGTAAACGCCGGGGTGCTGGGCCTTCAAAGGGAAGTCGGAAGATTCCAAGTCATGTTGAAATTCACACGCAAAGAGAGGAAGCAGCTCGCGGCTCGCGAGCCGGGGAAAGCCCTGGGCCGGCGCGGCTCCGGCGAGTCCAGGTGCCTCCAGTGGCCACGCCCCCACTCCAGGCAGCTGGCAGCAGTGAATCAGCCGAGTGGCTAACGAAATCTTACAGCAGGGAGGGGAAAGGAGCCGCCGGGCTGGTTCGCGCACACACACACACGCACACACACAAAGTGCAGCCGTGACGCTCGGCCCTGCAGTGCTGCGGAGCGGCGAGAGCAGCGCGCGGCACCTGTCCGCCGAGAGCCGGGGCGCGGGCGCCGGCGCGGCCGCGGGAGAGCAGGGGGCCGGCGCGGCGCGCGCCTCAGTGCGGCTCAGCCCGCCCGCCGGGACGCGGGCGCGATGTGGGCTGGCGAGACGTGAGCCCGACGCCTCTCCGATGTTGGATATTTGCTTGGAAAAACCTGTGGGGACGACCTTGGTAAGGACGTTGCTTTTATTTGTGTTTGGAAATTGATCTGGGAACTTTTTTCTTGCCTTTTTAACCCCTCTGGTTTTGTTTTTGATCACGTACTCGGGGTAGAAACAAGAAATGCTGTGCTTTCATGCACTTAGGACTGTCAGACTTTTAGAAGACTTTTCCCCCTCTTTATGGATCTTTAACCCTTTCATTTCTAGACATAATTGTCAATTTATTGCAATTTCAGTCCTGGTTCTTGTCCACTCTGGTCAAAGTAATTCCACCGCGGTGGCCTCAGGTTTCCAGTTTCAACATTTTATTCGGCATCGTGACTCTGTATTGGAACTACCTTTTTTTTTTTTTAAGCTGGTTTATTTAAACCGTAACCGAGGGAAACACAATTTTGCTTTTTTTTTTTTTTTTTTTTTTTTTCGAGAGAAGAGCATCCTAGTGAGAGAAGAAGTGGCAGAGTGTGCAAGCTGCCGTGAAGGCTTCCCCAGCGCTCTGTTGACATTTTCACAAGCACACGTCCGAAGTGGGAATGATGCCCCGGCTTCCAGCTTCGACCAGCCACGGCCACGGTGGGGAAGCGTGGCCGCAGTTCCAAGCCTTTTTTTTCCCCTCCTTAGGAAAGCACTTTTTTTCTGAGCGTGCGGGAAGGTTTGCGGGAATATCCTGCTCCATGTACAAGGGGAAGCGGGACTTGTCCTGGGAGCCTGCTGTGTGTGTTAGAACTTTAGTTACAGTAAACTGTAGCGCATCAGTGACTTCTGGGAATTCGCACACTTTCGGATTTAGATGGAAAGGGCTATTTGCAGCTGAGGGCTCCGAAAGGAATCCTCTCCGGGGAATTCTCTGTTTGCCTTCTCCACCGCCCCCGCCCCCGGTCCCGGAGTTGGCGGGAGATGCCCGCAACGCCCCGCGAGGCGGCGGACCGCGCTGCCCCTCGGCTCCCTCCGCGCGCTCCTCGCCCGGGGTGCCCGCGCTCGCCTGCCGCGGGGATGCTGGCGGCTGCAGCCGGGAGCCGGCCGCCCGGCGCGGGGGCTGAGCGAGCGTGCGAGCGCGCGCCGCGCCGGGCAAGGCAGTTGTTTTGAAAGTTGTTTTGCCTTTGGGAGCCGCGGTGGGAAAGTTCAGTCTTCCCCATTTGGAAAAGGCGGGCTGGGTTCCGCTCCCGCAGCACACGCGCTTTCCATTTTTAGCTTCATTCAGAGGCAGACAGAGCTCCTTCCTCTTCCTCTCCTTGTTTGTGACCCTTTTCTGAGGCAGCTTTTCCACAGCGCTGAGGGTCTGGCGGCCATGACCCCAGGCGCTCTGGGACGCCGGACCGAGCGCCCACAACATTTTTCTACCGTGAGAGGTGAAGCCAGGCAGTGTTCAGAGGTGGATCTTGCTGTAATTTCTGTTTCTCCCTCCCGCGCCCCCCCCCCCCCGTGAAGTTGCCACTTTTTTTTTTTCCTTTTTGACTAACACAAGCATTTAAACCCCTTGCTTCTTCAAGGCTGTTTGGGTCTCACTCAGCTGTACCAAGCGCTTTGCTGCATCGGCTTTGAAAGTCCCTCGGACTGCTGCATTAGTCACAGCCGCTCCGAGGGAGCTGGGAGCCAGCCACCACGCGGGACAATGGGGATTAAAGACCTTCCCCTTCTCTTCCAGGCTGCCCCCAAGTGCAGCTCCGGCGCTGTGACGGCTCAAGAGTTGGCAGAGGGCACCGAGGGGACCATGAAAATGGACATGGAGGACGCGGACATGACTCTGTGGACAGAGACTGAGTTTGAGGAGAAGTGCACGTACATTGTGAATGACCACCCTTGGGAGTCCGGCCCCGAGGGAGGGACCGCCGTGCAGGCCGAGGCGTCCTTGCCCAGGAATCTGCTCTTCAAGTACTCCAGCAACAGCAAAGAGGTAAGACTGGGGGTTTGGGCTGCAGAAGATTGCCACCGGAACCCCCCCCCCCCCATCTCCCTCCCTGCTTGCTCTCTCTCTCTCTCTGAGAATCTCTTAAGTATCAGCAAAGAATTGGTCCCTCTGTTTGCATCCCTCCAAGCTTTCTCTTTTCCCAAGTCAGTTCCTTCTCATTTTCTCCAGCCCTCCACCGTGCCATACCAATTAGTAAACAGTTAAATCCTGTGGCCAGGAGACTTGTCTTAGGCAAGTCTGGCTTAGCCTGCAGCCTGGGGTGGGTGACATGGCCGGTGAGCTTCCAGAAAGATCTGGACCAGCACCCATCTGCAGTCTTTGGGCGGAAAACACTTTTTCTTGGGGGAAAACAAGAAAAGTTGTCCGTGTGCCTTTTGTCTCCCTTTGGTCATTAGATGGCTTTATTCTTTTTAACGAGTGGCTTTATGAGCTGGGTTTCTAAAATTACTGTCAAAACCTTGACGCGTTTATGAATTGAGGCGACGGTAGGAGCCGAGAAGAGGGTCACGTAAAAGCGTGGTGTCCTCTGGCCCAGTGACTTCAGAGCTAACCACTGCTGATCTGTGGCAGCTCCTTTGCCCTGGCTGGCTGGCAGGCCCCTTCCTTCTCGGCCTCTGAAGTGGGCACCCTCTTTGTTGCTTCAAAGGGGCTGAAAACCCAAACTTGGAATGAGCAACTGATTTGTGTTTACCCTTTTATATAGCTATGACAGCAAGGCGTGATGTTTAGCTGTGAAATAACTTGCGGAACCACCTCTTGTTGGGAGCCCGTGGCTACTGTAGCTGCTCTTGCTACCAGCCTCCTGCCAGGCTAGGTTGAACAAATGGACCCCTTGCTTGGCTGGCCCACTGTCGGTTCTGTTGCTGCCTTCCCAGGGTAATGAGAGGGGCTGGCTGGCTGTAGGGATCCAGGTCTGCTGCTGAGACCTGGGACTGTTCATTACAGCCATGC